AGTACATAGTCTGTTGTACCAAGTTTTTCAAGTCACATATTTTCTTAAGATACATAATATTTCCAATTATTGATAATAAATTTATCAAACTAAGAAATATGCAAGGTATAAACCCTTCCCAAAATGATAATTTTCTTAGTACATAACTCGATCATTAAAAATCGTATAATAGTTTATTACACTAAAATAGTTTCAAAAGAGTTGAACTAGCTTATTGGAAAGAACTTAAGTTATTAAACATGAGGTCAATGGTTCAAGTCCTACTTTAAATAAATAATCCATTTTTTAAGCATAATATATATAAAACAAACACATAGAATATGCTAACAGGTAGAATCGAACCCATAACCATCCGCCTGCACAACAACACTCTAGCCAATATAATCCACCATCAATACACATGGTGACAAATTACATCCAGAATACGTCTTATTCTAGTCTAAAAACACAGTCCGGGCTGACCCAAAAACAAATTCAATCCCGAATACAACTTAACAATTTCAATCCAGGCTTCAGAATATATAGCTCAGTATTTTCAGACCCAAAAACAAATCATAGCCCAAAATATTTTAAACTCATACTAACCCTAAAATGGGTATTCAAAATAGTAGAGATTTCAAAATAGGTTATACATGGGTTTCGCAAAATAAGGAGAGAAGAGTTAACCACTTACCTAAAACATCCAAATCTTAGCTATTTAGCTCGCCCAAATTCTCCTTGTAAAAAATCCCTAATATTTTTAAACATCAATCTCAAGGGCTCAAATGATAAACCCAACTCAAAGAGTGAAATATGGAGGTCAAACTCACCTAGAATACTCTAATAGCTTTGAGATCTAAGCTTGAAGAAGATGGAGATCAAAGCTTCAAGGTTTTTCCCTTCCTCTATCTCTCTAGGCAATATTCTCTTTTTCTTCTTTCAAATGAGATGGTCTTCCAAGATAAAAGGGATTCCTTAAGCTTTAAGGATAAAGAGGGGTAACTTAGTAAATTCATCCAATATCAATTTTAATAACCTTTGACTTGTTGACCTATTTTAATAACATAGGTATATTTTATTTCTAAGATAGTGGGTATTACATTGATGCAAGTAAAATGTGTTATAAATGCAAGTAGTTGGTGCATCTTTGCAAGTAAAATCACTTACAAGCAGAGACGGAGCCAGGACGGAAGAGTGCCCGCGGGCCAACTACGATTGAAGTACTAAATCAAATACATTGATATCTCGTTAACATATCTTAAAATAATCATTACATTACAAATTCGATAAAGTTTAGAATAAATCATTTATAATTAAATCTATATTAAATTATTTTGCAATATGCTTTGTACGGTTGAAAGAATAAAAACATGCATGTTTTAAAAGACTATTGATTATTTCTTGAAAAACCCTCTTCACAACATAACATAATAGCAATTGTTTTCTCAAAAATCAGTTATATTTAAGTGACTGACACTTACACCAAATATGGCATTTAGCGGCGGTTACAAACCGTCACTACTGTGTTTCTCGTCGGTTATTCAACCATGACTAAATAGTGTGTCGGGAAGGATTTAGCGGCAGTTTTCTACAACTGCGGGAATTAACGGGAAACTTATTTCACGGCGGTTTTAAAACCGCCGCTAATATTTCTTTATTATTTACTTTAAATTTTAGCGACAATTTTAAAACATACCCTCGGAGTATGTCCGAATAAAATTTCTCAGTTCTAGGACTTGGCTGCTCTGCAGAGAGCGACCAGATTCCTTCCTGCTCCAACATTATCGTCATCTCTATTTTAAGGGAGCGTGTGGAGTGGACAATTCCACATTTTATCACAAAAGTATTTTAATTTATAGATCTTAGAGTAATTTCTTAAGGCCATTACAGGACCTGACGAGATTGTATTTAAGACATAAGGTTGAGAGAAATTGTATTTAAGACATTTCTAAAGAAGATAGCAACTCACAGGAGTTTCAAATGTACCTTAAAGTATAGTATATATAGTCCATGCTTTTTAATACTATTAGGATATCCATAACAAATTAAAACAACATTGTATCATAGTATACCAAATCTAACCCTAATATATTTCGAATATTCGGGTGGGTCAGATATGAAAATATACAACCCCACCCGAAATTCCTTATCCGGCATCGTTTAGGGTTGTTGTTCGGGTAGTGATCTTCGGATGCGGGTTGGGTCGGGGAGCTTGGTTTCAAAATTCGGACTGGACGGATTTTTCAGGTCGATCGAGTTATGCACAACTCTAGATATATTTGAGACGTGTTTAGAGCAAATCGACTCGAAGATGCAGGTCAAAACAACCCGGAATAGTTCAACCCCGTAGTTCCCCAAAGGGCCCAAGGCTCCGTTGTCGAACTTAGCCCCCCAAAGCTGACCACAAGATCACGAGTACAAATTAAATTTGACAATAAAAATTAGACTATTAGCAAAAAAAAAAACTAAAAAATAAAAAATAAAAAGCAAAGACACATCTTCTTTGTCGTCGAAAAATGCATTGCCTAAAATAGGATTTTACATGAAAAAATCATCAAAAAAAAAAAAAAAAGAAGTTTGTTTCTAAAGATAAATTATAGGAAAAATAATAAACCATAGGATTTTGATTTGTCTTATATATAATATTGGATTCATGCTAGCTTGTCTTTTGGATTTTTCTTTTACTTTGACTTAATTGCGCCTCTGATCTTGTGTATTAAAAAATCAAAAGCAAAAAAAAAAAAAAATGTTTGTAATGAACACATTATTTTTAATTGTCAATAATGAAGCTGCTTAAGAACGTAAACCTGCCCAGTACACACTAATAGCCTAAACTTACAATATAACCTGTAATCTCATCTGTCAAATCACATGCATTTCAACTTATTGCAATTCAACCAGCCAACCTAAACATGCATGCATGGGTAGAAATATCCCAACCATTACACTTATTCTCTACAAATTTCTTTCCAACTCTACAAGAATTCAAGAGGTAGAAGCCAACATAAACTTAGGACTGTGATGAATCCACAGTTTTGAGATCATTATTCCTCAAAATCCCCTTCACTTCCTTCTAGTTACTCTGATCTTTAAGTTCATCTTCAAGTTTCTCTTCAGCAATTCTCTGAAATTTAGTTAGATACAAGAATATATTAATTAAAGATTAAAGATGGGAATGAAATAAGAATTAAAATAGCATACAAAAGTAAGGTATTTGTTTGGCAGAGTTGACAAGCCCAGAATAACAATGCCACAACTCAATCAACTGTAGAGTGAGTATATCTCTGAAACTAGAAGGGATTGCTTCCAATTCATAACATTCATTAAGAATTAGGCGCTCAAGGACAGGGAAATCATTATCACCAGTGGCTTCGCAGCGCCTCAAATTTGATCCGTAAATAAGCAATGATTTTAACTGACCAAAACTACCTTCGGAATCCTCAAACACTTGCTCTGTACATTGGAATGGGCGCAACCATTGAAGTGTCTGTATGTATTGATGAACCACAGTTGGAGTACCCAACACAAATGTTGGGTATTCCAAAGGATTAGGGTCGTCGTCTGCACTATTTATGTTGGGTATTCCAAAGGATTAGGGTCGTCGTCTGCACTATTTTCTAAAACCACGGTAAATTTCAATCCTTTAACACTGGTAAACTGTTAAGAGACATGGATGGGCACAGAGCTAGGTATCTCAAAAGAATTAGATCCGTAACATATGAAGGTACATTAATGAAGTTGAGAGAACCTAAATGTACTACTCTCAATCTCTTGAAATGAGAGGTTGCAGGAAGTTGATAAACTTTTGGAGTCATATGATCATCATCATCATGAAAGCAAAAGAGGGAACCAAACCTGTTGATGGCAGTGTGCACATCAAGATTAGGATTCATTGATTCTAAACATAACCAACGTTGAGTCGTCCTTACAGATGGACGTGGTGAACACTTCCATAATAATCTAGATATTGCTTGCCACTTAATAATGATTGAAATATAAAGTAGGAAAGAATTGAAATTGAAAAAAAATGTATGGTACTATTGATAAATAGTAGCATAACAAATTTCACCTTATCAGTTGTGGGTTATCTGATCTGGTGCATCCATATCTATACATAAGTCCACACTGACAGATCTAAGTTGTTTATTTACAAATTAAATAAAGTCTAATACTTCTTCTTGGAGACGTGCTTACGCAGAAGCTTTAGCGTCATCACAAATTGGAGGGACGTTTTTGCCAGAGAGTGTTGGCTTCACGTTGCAACATTCCGATATGGCGCTGCCATTGGTTCCATGGTATTCCAAGTTCACCCCGGACATCTCTACTTTTTCACACGGTACTCCAGGGCTGCATAGTAACTTCACTGCCACCTTCGTCGCCGACGTCCCCTTTATTTCCTTGAAGCTAACGTCACTGATCTTTACTTTCGACGGGACGCCAGCCTTGCATTGATTCCAGGGGCAGTATTGTTGATCGATCAAAATTGGGGTGCTCACGTTGTCCATCCTCACATCTTCGAAGTGCATGCGGGTGGCGACGCCCTCTGGAGATGCCGGCCACGTCTTGATCCTAACTCCGAACATAGTATTGATGAGTTTGCAGTTTTTGATGGACACGTCCTCCACCGGTTGTTCGTTAGGGTATCTTCCTAAACTTCCGATAGCGATTCCGTGGCCGGGGCCGCACTTCACATTTTCGATGGTCACCTTCTTGGCGCCATCCCCGAAGGAGATACAGTCATCGCCGGTCTTAATTTCGGCATCGTCCACCGTAACCCCTTCGGAACGCCCGATGTGGATTCCGTCGGTGTTTGCGCTGTCCGCCGGCGCACGGATTTTGATTTTATTCAACGTCAGGTTCTTGCATTGTATCACATTCATGTGGAAAAACTTGCTGTCCACAGACTTTATTCCTTTCACCACCGCGTTCGTCAACGTACCCAAGTTCATGTTCTATTTCAAAATAATAAGTAAAAGCAAAGAAAATAATAATAAAATCATATCCAAGATGAGATCGAGTACTTACAATGGGGAGGTTTTACAAAGGGGATTATTCATATTCTCCTTACACTTGTTTATCTTCCAGGCGGCGGAACCTTGGCCGTTATAAGTACCGCCGGAGAGCGTAAAGTCTTTAATCATGCTGAACAAAATCCATCCATCTTTTGTTTTGAACTGATTGAGATCAGTTGGCGCGATCAATTTGGCACCTTCCGCATCAAATGTTACGGCACTCTTACAAGGACCTAGAAACCCAATCTGACCCAACCTATACTTGCCTTCCGGAACCTTGAGCGTGCTCGGCTCTGTCGCTTTGCATACCTCATCCCAAGCTTTCTTAAAAGCCTACTCAAATAAACCACAAAATACAATCAAACTATATATTTATGTACAGAGAGAGAGAGAGAAAGAGACAATACTATTGCATGTATGTTTGTACCGCAGTATCATCGCCATCGTCATCACCTTTTGCACCAGATGTTTTAACGTTAACTTCAACGCCCTGTATTGTTGCTACAAGATATGTCACATAGAAAAAAATCAATGCAGCTTGAATCGCATTGGAACCCATCTCTTTTTTTTTTTTTTGTGTATTTATTTTATTTTATTTTCCTTTATACAGCTGGTTGAGATACAGATGATATGGATTGTTGATGGGAAATTGAAATGATCGGGAGTGTGTATTTATAAGGTGAGAAGAGAAGTTTGCTGCCACGAATATGAACATAATTCTAGGAAAATTTTGGGGTGTGTTACAAGTGTTTGGTTCAACCGGATTCTTAATTAATTTGTACATAATTCTAGGAAAATTTTGTTGGGTGTGTTACAAGTGTTTGGTTCAACCGGATTATTAATTAATTTGTCTCATTACTAATTTTTAATCCTCAAAGCCTAATTGTGTGGAACTGACCATTGACGTAAATATTATGACAGACTTATTCTATGAATTTTTTATTATTTCTTTTTAAACTTGAGTAACATATGCATACAGGGTAGATCCCAAAAGAAAAAAAAATAAATCAATGAGGGTAAATATTAAAACGAAAATAAAAAGTTTCAAATTTGGTATAAATTACTGGATTAGATAACATATTGGATTTTAATTTGTTTCTATTTTTATCTTTAGTTATTGGCCGAGACTGTGAGAATATGAGAGGAGTGTAAACGAGCTGAGCCGAGCTCGAGCTCGATCGAGCTAGAAAATTGATGCTCAAGCTCGGCTCGGTTATGAAACAAGTCGACTCGAGTTTGGTTTGAGCTCGATATATATATATATATATATATATATATATATATATATATATATATATATATATATATATATGGTTGCACTCCTGTGCGAATAGGTGCCCAGTAGAGAAATGCGAATGAATATCATCCTTCCACGTGTCCAGATTAACAAATCTGATGTAATTTTAAAAAAACGACGCGGTGACATTTTTGTTAATAGTTCGAACTTTGATTGTCACGCCCCACTTCTAGGACATGACCCGGCCGTACCGTTACATGAAAACTTGTAACAATATGAAGCCTAACCACACGAATCTCTCGAAACCTTCATAACAACACTTAAATACATAACAATTCCACAACCCAAAATGACGAAATATAATCGACTAGTACTTCCCAAAAGCTCATTAAATCCATACATAAATTTTTACAATCATGAGTAGTATGTCCAAAATACACCACAAGCACAACGAGTTATTACAAAAAATACAAGGGGTAAAGGGAATATCCAAAAGAAACAAAAATTCGTGATAAGCTCCAACACTAGGACTAAGTCTCCTACTTTCAAAAGTCACCTTTGAGACCCCACCACTTGTGCTCATGCTATTCACATATCCTTACTACTCTGAAACATGAGAAAATAAAATACAAATAATGAGCTAATGCCCAGTAAGTGATACTCCTCTCAACCCCGGATCAAGTAACCCCAAAATAATACAAAAAGCTTTAGAGTAATAACTCGATGCAAAACTCGATCTTTAAACTATATTGAAGTCATAATATACTTTCATCATATTATACACAAGTTCACAAAACAAGAAACTTTAGCTACATGGGCCTCAACAATATTTCATAATACAATACTTTCAAAAGCATAAACCATACCTTAACATATGACTCATTGGCAACCTACTACCACTATTATATTCTGTGGCACATGCCATTATCGGTATAATGGTCCAAAAAAACTCGACGATTCGGAATGAGTCAGGCTCGACGATTCAGAATGAGCCGGATGGAACGTTCCAACAAATAATTCAAAAGACTCGACGATTCGGAATGAGTCAAGCTCGACGATTAGGAATGAGCAATTGGGAACGTTCCAAACCGAACAAAACAAACAACAAAAGGTAGGTTGCCTCATGAGTTTGACCGAACATTCAAAACAGTTCTTATAAACAAATAGCCCGATGTAGCAAAAATCATTTTCCTTAAAAAACCACATAACAAGTACATAGTCTGTTGTACCAAGTTTTTCAAGTCACATATTTTCTTAAGATACATAATATTTCCAATTATTGATAATAAATTTATCAAACTAAGAAATATGCAAGGTATAAACCCTTCCCAAAATGATAATTTTCTTAGTACATAACTCGATCATTAAAAATCGTATAATAGTTTATTACACTAAAATAGTTTCAAAAGAGTTGAACTAGCTTATTGGAAAGAACTTAAGTTATTAAACATGAGGTCAATGGTTCAAGTCCTACTTTAAATAAATAATCCATTTTTTAAGCATAATATATATAAAACAAACACATAGAATATGCTAACAGGTAGAATCGAACCCATAACCATCCGCCTGCACAACAACACTCTAGCCAATATAATCCACCATCAATACACATGGTGACAAATTACATCCAGAATACGTCTTATTCTAGTCTAAAACACTGTCCGGGCTGACCCAAAAACAAATTCAATCCCGAATACAACTTAACAATTTCAATCCAGGCTTCAGAATATATAGCTCAGTATTTTCAGACCCAAAAACAAATCATAGCCCAAAATATTTTAAACTCATACTAACCCTAAAATGGGTATTCAAAATAGTAGAGATTTCAAAATAGGTTATACATGGGTTTCGCAAAATAAGGAGAGAAGAGTTAACCACTTACCTAAAACATCCAAATCTTAGCTATTTAGCTCGCCCAAATTCTCCTTGTAAAAAATCCCTAATATTTTTAAACATCAATCTCAAGGGCTCAAATGATAAACCCAACTCAAAGAGTGAAATATGGAGGTCAAACTCACCTAGAATACTCTAATAGCTTTGAGATCTAAGCTTGAAGAAGATGGAGATCAAAGCTTCAAGGTTTTTCCCTTCCTCTATCTCTCTAGGCAATATTCTCTTTTTCTTCTTTCAAATGAGATGGTCTTCCAAGATAAAAGGGATTCCTTAAGCTTTAAGGATAAAGAGGGGTAACTTAGTAAATTCATCCAATATCAATTTTAATAACCTTTGACTTGTTGACCTATTTTAATAACATAGGTATATTTTATTTCTAAGATAGTGGGTATTACATTGATGCAAGTAAAATGTGTTATAAATGCAAGTAGTTGGTGCATCTTTGCAAGTAAAATCACTTACAAGCAGAGACGGAGCCAGGACGGAAGAGTGCCCGCGGGGCCAACTACGATTGAAGTACTAAATCAAATACATTGATATCTCGTTAACATATCTTAAAATAATCATTACATTACAAATTCGATAAAGTTTAGAATAAATCATTTATAATTAAATCTATATTAAATTATTTTGCAATATGCTTTGTACGGTTGAAAGAATAAAAACATGCATGTTTTAAAAGACTATTGATTATTTCTTGAAAAACCCTCTTCACAACATAACATAATAGCAATTGTTTTCTCAAAAATCAGTTATATTTAAGTGACTGACACTTACACCAAATATGGCATTTAGCGGCGGTTACAAACCGTCACTACTGTGTTTCTCGTCGGTTATTCAACCATGACTAAATAGTGTGTCGGGAAGGATTTAGCGGCAGTTTTCTACAACTGCGGGAATTAACGGGAAACTTATTTCACGGCGGTTTTAAAACCGCCGCTAATATTTCTTTATTATTTACTTTAAATTTTAGCGACAATTTTAAAACATACCCTCGGAGTATGTCCGAATAAAATTTCTCAGTTCTAGGACTTGGCTGCTCTGCAGAGAGCGACCAGATTCCTTCCTGCTCCAACATTATCGTCATCTCTATTTTAAGGGAGCGTGTGGAGTGGACAATTCCACATTTTATCACAAAAGTATTTTAATTTATAGATCTTAGAGTAATTTCTTAAGGCCATTACAGGACCTGACGAGATTGTATTTAAGACATAAGGTTGAGAGAAATTGTATTTAAGACATTTCTAAAGAAGATAGCAACTCACAGGAGTTTCAAATGTACCTTAAAGTATAGTATATATAGTCCATGCTTTTTAATACTATTAGGATATCCATAACAAATTAAAACAACATTGTATCATAGTATACCAAATCTAACCCTAATATATTTCGAATATTCGGGTGGGTCAGATATGAAAATATACAACCCCACCCGAAATTCCTTATCCGGCATCGTTTAGGGTTGTTGTTCGGGTAGTGATCTTCGGATGCGGGTTGGGTCGGGGAGCTTGGTTTCAAAATTCGGACTGGACGGATTTTTCAGGTCGATCGAGTTATGCACAACTCTAGATATATTTGAGACGTGTTTAGAGCAAATCGACTCGAAGATGCAGGTCAAAACAACCCGGAATAGTTCAACCCCGTAGTTCCCCAAAGGGCCCAAGGCTCCGTTGTCGAACTTAGCCCCCAAAGCTGACCACAAGATCACGAGTACAAATTAAATTTGACAATAAAAATTAGACTATTAGCAAAAAAAAAAACTAAAAAATAAAAAATAAAAAGCAAAGACACATCTTCTTTGTCGTCGAAAAATGGCATTGCCTAAAATAGGATTTTACATGAAAAAATCATCAAAAAAAAAAAAAAAAAAGAAGTTTGTTTCTAAAGATAAATTATAGGAAAAATAATAAACCATAGGATTTTGATTTGTCTTATATATAATATTGGATTCATGCTAGCTTGTCTTTTGGATTTTTCTTTTACTTTGACTTAATTGCGCCTCTGATCTTGTGTATTAAAAAATCAAAAGCAAAAAAAAAAAAAATGTTTGTAATGAACACATTATTTTTAATTGTCAATAATGAAGCTGCTTAAGAACGTAAACCTGCCCAGTACACACTAATAGCCTAAACTTACAATATAACCTGTAATCTCATCTGTCAAATCACATGCATTTCAACTTATTGCAATTCAACCAGCCAACCTAAACATGCATGCATGGGTAGAAATATCCCAACCATTACACTTATTCTCTACAAATTTCTTTCCAACTCTACAAGAATTCAAGAGGTAGAAGCCAACATAAACTTAGGACTGTGATGAATCCACAGTTTTGAGATCATTATTCCTCAAAATCCCCTTCACTTCCTTCTAGTTACTCTGATCTTTAAGTTCATCTTCAAGTTTCTCTTCAGCAATTCTCTGAAATTTAGTTAGATACAAGAATATATTAATTAAAGATTAAAGATGGGAATGAAATAAGAATTAAAATAGCATACAAAAGTAAGGTATTTGTTTGGCAGAGTTGATAAGCCCAGAATAACAATGCCACAACTCAATCAACTGTAGAGTGAGTATATCTCTGAAACTAGAAGGGATTGCTTCCAATTCATAACATTCATTAAGAATTAGGCGCTCAAGGACAGGGAAATCATTATCACCAGTGGCTTCGCAGCGCCTCAAATTTGATCCGTAAATAAGCAATGATTTTAACTGACCAAAACTACCTTCGGAATCCTCAAACACTTGCTCTGTACATTGGAATGGGCGCAACCATTGAAGTGTCTGTATGTATTGATGAACCACAGTTGGAGTACCCAACACAAATGTTGGGTATTCCAAAGGATTAGGGTCGTCGTCTGCACTATTTATGTTGGGTATTCCAAAGGATTAGGGTCGTCGTCTGCACTATTTTCTAAAACCACGGTAAATTTCAATCCTTTAACACTGGTAAACTGTTAAGAGACATGGATGGACACAGAGCTAGGTATCTCAAAAGAATTAGATCCGTAACATATGAAGGTACATTAATGAAGTTGAGAGAACCTAAATGTACTACTCTCAATCTCTTGAAATGAGAGGTTGCAGGAAGTTGATAAACTTTTGGAGTCATATGATCATCATCATCATGAAAGCAAAAGAGGGAACCAAACCTGTTGATGGCAGTGTGCACATCAAGATTAGGATTCATTGATTCTAAACATTGTAAGATTTTCCCTTATAATATATATTGATATTATATATTAGGGCCTTAATTAAGTGGTGCAAGTTGACTAGGCTTATTAAGTGGTCTGGTTGGACTTAATAACTAGTAGTTGTTAGTCAACCAAACTCTGTGCCTAATATAACCTGGATTGATGGGATACAGGATTATGGATTAGACAGCACATTCAGTTACGGTACTCAGACCGCTCAGTAGACACAAATACACCATCTAGGGTTCTGAGTCAGGTCTGAGGCAAAACATGGCTGACGGTCTACCGTTAAGAGGCAACACAACAGGAACATCAACTATGGCTGGAGATCAACATGGCTACGCTTCCGCTATCATACGAGGTTAGGTTTCTCGTATACTATGGTTTATTATAGTTAGACTATTGTGTATCTAACATTTGGTTTCAGAGCCTTTTTATAATCTCTGCCTGGTTGATTGTTTTGCCTAAAACAATATTAAGTTAAGTTTCATATACATCAAGCCTTAGTATATGTTTCATGTATTAATTTATTTTGAAATATACATACAAAATATATCTATTTAGTGATGATATAATTAAGCAATTTAGTGTGTATGTTTCAAAAGAATTATATTTTGGATTGCCAAAAAAAATAAAAAATAAAAACAATAATTTTTGGCATTAAGCACAATTTTAATTCCTTTTGGTTTTTGGAATTATTTGTTGTGATTTTTCTGGACTAGTGGAACCATCTGGAATTTAAACCCACATCAAGCATAATGTTTTCTTTGGATGGCTGAAATTAAATTTCAGCATTAAGAATCTGCCAAAAGAAAATTTCTCTACTGCTTGATTTTATCGGAGCATCACCAGTGACAACCGGCATTAGGACTCCGGGCATCGGGTTCGTATTCGCCGGTGCTTTGGACTCCGACTGTCGTCGACTCACAGGCGGCCCCAGATGATGGCGGAAAAACGACGGAAGTCTTAAAAAAAAAAATAGTTTTTTTTTTTTCGTCGTTCTTTCCTTTCGGTTTCCGTCAATGGTGTGGGTTTCCGGTGACCTCAGTAGACCAACGGTGATGAACGCACGACGCGAAGGAACGTCGAGCGCTGCAGATCGTCGCCTGGCAGGTTGTTCGCGTCGCGGCTGAGGGCGGTGGTTGTTGGCGTTGCGCAGAGAAAGATACGGCGGCGGTGGGCTGGGGGTTCCCGGCTTGTCGCTGCTGTCTCCCTCCTTCATGCGGCGTTAGCTCCGGCCATCGTTGTTTCTCCTTCAGGCTCCGGTCGCTGCTCCTTAAGCTTTGAGTAGTGCTGGTTCGCAAGCTGTTGGCTGATGGAAGAAGATGATGATGATGATGGATTTAGTTTTTGGGCCGGGTCTGGCCCATTCGTCCAGACCTAATCCATAAAACAAAAAAAAAAAAAAAATCCTGGGCCTATTTAGTATTTTGGGCTTCTTCAACTTTCACCATCATATTTAGACTTCTTTTAGCTTAATTGTTCAATTTAATTTTTCATTAATTTATTATTAAATTATCATTCAATTTTTGAGCAAATATTAAGTATTGAATTTGCTATGTGAATTTTAATTTAATATTGAGATTATATTAAATTGCTTTAAGTATTGCAATTTATTTAAGATATATGGGTTAATAATATATTAATATGCAAATCCAAGCATGCTACGTATATTCATAAATTATTGTTATAATTATACATTCATAAAAGCATACATTAAGGTTGAATTTAGCATATTATTAACTCATAAATTCATTTTTAAATATCATTCAATTTTGGATCCGTAGGTCAATTTTAGGCATTATGACCTACTAAAGTAGCTTGTTTGGTTTCCTCTTAATTTTGAGCACATTTTAATTTCATGTGTCTCTGGGACTTTATAACCTATTTTGAACAAGCTATTTAGGACCTATCTTGGGTCATTAAAGTATGGATCCCATTATTTTGATTGATATTTAAATAATAATTATAGCTCCTTATAACATGTTTATTAAGTTTAAATTATTACTAACTACCATATTTTGGTATTCATCGTTGGTAATAATATTATGTTTTGGGTCTATTTCAGTACTTAGACCATTTTTTATTCATGTTATAATTCACTTGGGTCATTGAGGTTTATGTGCCTAATTTGAGTGATTAAGTGCTATAATTATTGTTTTAGCCTGTTTAGAGACATTAAGGATTTAATTGTTATTTTGGCCATTAAGAACTATTACTAACCAACGTTGAGTCGTCCTTACAGATGGACGTGGTGAACACTTCCATAATAATCTAGATATTGCTTGCCACTTAATAATGATTGAAATATAAAGTAGGAAAGAATTGAAATTGAAAAAAAATGTATGGTACTATTGATAAATAGTAGCATAACAAATTTCACCTTATCAGTTGTGGGTTATCTGATCTGGTGCATCCATATCTATACATAAGTCCACACTGACAGATCTAAGTTGTTTATTTACAAATTAAATAAAGTCTAATACTTCTTCTTGGAGACGTGCTTACGCAGAAGCTTTAGCGTCATCACAAATTGGAGGGACGTTTTTGCCAGAGAGTGTTGGCTTCACGTTGCAACATTCCGATATGGCACTGCCATTGGTTCCATGGTATTCCAAGTTCACCCCGGACATCTCTACTTTTTCACACGGTACTCCAGGGCTGCATAGTAACTTCACTGCCACCTTCGTCGCCGACGTCCCCTTTATTTCCTTGAAGCTAACGTCACTGATCTTTACTTTCGACGGGACGCCAGCCTTGCATTGATTCCAGGGGCAGTATTGTTGATCGATCAAAATTGGGGTGCTCACGTTGTCCATCCTCACATCTTCGAAGTGCATGCGGGTGGCGACGCCCTCTGGAGATGCCGGCCACGTCTTGATCCTAACTCCGAACATAGTATTGATGAGTTTGCAGTTTTTGATGGACACGTCCTCCACCGGTTGTTCGTTAGGGTATCTTCCTAAACTTCCGATAGCGATTCCGTGGCCGGGGCCGCACTTCACATTTTCGATGGTCACCTTCTTGGCGCCATCCCCGAAGGAGATACAGTCATCGCCGGTCTTAATTTCGGCATCGTCCACCGTAACCCCTTCGGAACGCCCGATGTGGATTCCGTCGGTGTTTGCGCTGTCCGCCGGCGCACGGATTTTGATTTTATTCAACGTCAGGTTCTTGCATTGTATCACATTCATGGATTGTTGATGGGAAATTGAAATGATCGGGAGTGTGTATTTATAAGGTGAGAAGAGAAGTTTGCTGCCACGAATATGAACATAATTCTAGGAAAATTTTGGGGTGTGTTACAAGTGTTTGGTTCAACCGGATTCTTAATTAATTTGTACATAATTCTAGGAAAATTTTGTTGGGTGTGTTACAAGTGTTTGGTTCAACCGGATTCTTAATTAATTTGTCTCATTACTAATTTTTAATCCTCAAAGCCTAATTGTGTGGAACTGACCATTGACGTAAATATTATGACAGACTTATTCTATGAATTTTTTATTATTTCTTTTTAAACTTGAGTAACATATGCATACAGGGTAGATCCCAAAAGAAAAAAAAATAAATCAATGAGGGTAAATATTAAAACGAAAATAAAAAGTTTCAAATTTGGTATAAATTACTGGATTAGATAACATATTGGATTTTAATTTGTTTCTATTTTTATCTTTAGTTATTGGCCGAGACTGTGAAAATATGAGAGGAGTGTAAACGAGCTGAGCCGAGCTCGAGCTCGATCGAGCTAGAAAATTGATGCTCAAGCTCGGCTCGGTTATGAAACAAGTCGACTCGAGTTTGGTTTGAGCTCGATATATATATATATATATATATATATATATATATATATATATATATATATATATATATATATATATATATATATATATATATATATATATATATATATATATATATATATATATATATATATATATATATATATATATATATATATATATATAGGGTTGCACTCCTGTGTGAATAGGTGCCCAGTAGAGAAATGCGAATGAATATCATCCTTCCACGTGTCCAGATTAACAAATCTGATGTAATTTTAAAAAAACGACGCGGTGACATTTTTGTTAATAGTTCGAACTTTGATTGTCACGCCCCACTTCTAGGACATGACCCGGCCGTACCGTTACATGAAAACTTGTAACAATATGAAGCCTAACCGCACGAATCTCTCGAAACCTTCATAACAACACTTAAATACATAACAATTCCACAACCCAAAATGACGAAATATAATCGACTAGTACTTCCCAAAAGCTCATTAAATCCATACATAAATTTTTACAATCATGAGTAGTATGTCCAAAATACACCACAAGCACAACGAGTTATTACAAAAAATACAAGGGGTAAAGGGAATATCCAAAAGAAACAAAAATTCGTGATAAGCTCCAACACTAGGACTAAGTCTCCTACTTTCAAAAGTCACCTTTGAGACCCCACCACTTGTGCTCATGCTATTCACATATCCTTACTACTCTGAAACATGAGAAAATAAAATACAAATAATGAGCTAATGCCCAGTAAGTGATACTCCTCTCAACCCCGGATCAAGTAACCCCAAAATAATACAAAAAGCTTTAGAGTAATAACTCGATGCAAAACTCGATCTTTAAACTATATTGAAGTCATAATATACTTTCATCATATTATACACAAGTTCACAAAACAAGAAACTGTAGCTACATGGGCCTCAACAATATTTCATAATACAATACTTTCAAAAGCATAAACCATACCTTAACATATGACTCATTGGCAACCTACTACCACCATTATATTCTGTGGCACATGCCATTATCGGTATAATGGTCCAAAAAAACTCGACGATTCGGAATGAGTCAGGCTCGACGATTCAGAATGAGCCGGATGGAACGTTCCAACAAATAATTCAAAAGACTCGACGATTCGGAATGAGTCAAGCTCGACGATTAGGAATGAGCAATTGGGAACGTTCCAAACCGAACAAAACAAACAACAAAAGGTAGGTTGCCTCATGAGTTTGACCGAACATTCAAAACAGTTCTTATAAACAAATAGCCCGATGTAGCAAAAATCATTTTCCTTAAAAAACCACATAACAAGTACATAGTCTGTTGTACCAAGTTTTTCAAGTCACATATTTTCTTAAGATACATAATATTTCCAATTATTGATAATAAATTTATCAAACTAAGAAATATGCAAGGTATAAACCCTTCCCAAAATGATAATTTTCTTAGTACATAACTCGATCATTAAAAATCGTATAATAGTTTATTACACTAAAATAGTTTCAAAAGAGTTGAACTAGCTTATTGGAAAGAACTTAAGTTATTAAATTAAACATGAGGTCAATGGTTCAAGTCCTACTTTAAATAAATAATCTATTTTTTAAGCATAATATATATAAAACAAACACATAGAATATGCTAACAGGTAGAATCGAACCCATAACCATTCGCCTGCTCAACAACACTCTAGCCAATATAATCCACCATCAATACACATGGTGACAAATTACATCCAGAATACGTCTTATTCTAGTCTAAAACACAGTCCGGGCTGACCCAAAAACAAATTCAATCCCGAATACAACTTAACAATTTCAATCCAGGCTTCAGAATATATAGCTCAGTATTTTCAGACCCAAAAACAAATCATAGCCCAAAATATTTTAATCTCATACTAACCCTAAAATGGGTATTCAAAATAGTAGAGATTTCAAAATAGGTTATACATGGGTTTCGCAAAATAAGGAGAGAAGAGTTAACCACTTACCTAAAACATCCAAATCTTAGCTATTTAGCTCGCCCAAATTCTCCTTGTAAAAAATCCCTAATATTTTTAAACATCAATCTCAAGGGCTCAAATGATAAACCCAACTCAAAGAGTGAAATATGGAGGTCAAACTCACCTAGAATACTCTAATAGCTTTGAGATCTAAGCTTGAAGAAGATGGAGATCAAAGCTTCAAGGTTTTTCCCTTCCTCTATCTCTCTAGGCAATATTCTCTTTTTCTTCTTTCAAATGAGATGGTCTTCCAAGATAAAAGGGATTCCTTAAGCTTTAAGGATAAAGAGGGGTAACTTAGTAAATTCATCCAATATCAATTTTAATAACCTTTGACTTGTTGACCTATTTTAATAACATAGGTATATTTTATTTCTAAGATAGTGGGTATTACATTGATGCAAGTAAAATGTGTTATAAATGCAAGTAGTTGGTGCATCTTTGCAAGTAAAATCACTTACAAGCAGGGACGGAGCCAGGAAGAGTGCCCGCGGGGCCAACTACGATTGAAGTACTAAATCAAATACATTGATATCTCGTTAACATATCTTAAAATAATCATTACATTACAAATTCGATAAAGTTTAGAATAAATCATTTATAATTAAATCTATATTAAATTATTTTGCAATATGCTTTGTACGGTTGAAAGAATAAAAACATGCATGTTTTAAAAGACTATTGATTATTTCTTGAAAAACCCTCTTCACAACATAACATAATAGCAATTGTTTTCTCAAAAATCAGTTATATTTAAGTGACTGACACTTACACCAAATATGGCATTTAGCGGCGGTTACAAACCGTCACTACTGTGTTTCTCGTCGGTTATTCAACCATGACTAAATAGTGTGTCGGGAAGGATTTAGCGGCAGTTTTCTACAACTGCGGGAATTAACGGGAAACTTATTTCACGGCGGTTTTAAAACCGCCGCTAATATTTCTTTATTATTTACTTTAAATTTTAGCGACAATTTTAAAACATACCCTCGGAGTATGTCCGAATAAAATTTCTCAGTTCTAGGACTTGGCTGCTCTGCAGAGAGCGACCAGATTCCTTCCTGCTCCAACATTATCGTCATCTCTATTTTAAGGGAGCGTGTGGAGTGGACAATTCCACATTTTATCACAAAAGTATTTTAATTTATAGATCTTAGAGTAATTTCTTAAGGCCATTACAGGACCTGACGAGATTGTATTTAAGACATAAGGTTGAGAGAAATTGTATTTAAGACATTTCTAAAGAAGATAGCAACTCACAGGAGTTTCAAATGTACCTTAAAGTATAGTATATATAGTCCATGCTTTTTAATACTATTAGGATATCCATAACAAATTAAAACAACATTGTATCATAGTATACAAAATCTAACCCTAATATATTTCGAATATTCGGGTGGGTCAGATATGAAAATATACAACCCCACCCGAAATTCCTTATCCGGCATCGTTTAGGGTTGTTGTTCGGGTAGTGATCTTCGGATGCGGGTTGGGTCGGGGAGCTTGGTTTCAAAATTCGGACTGGACGGATTTTTCAGGTCGATCGAGTTATGCACAACTCTAGATATATTTGAGACGTGTTTAGAGCAAATCGACTCGAAGACGCAGGTCAAAACAACCCGGAATAGTTCAACCCCGTAGTTCCCCAAAGGGCCCAAGGCTCCGTTGTCGAACTTAGCCCCCCAAAGCTGACCACAAGATCACGAGTACAAATTAAATTTGACAATAAAAATTAGACTATTAGCAAAAAAAAAAACTAAAAAATAAAAAATAAAAAGCAAAGACACATCTTCTTTGTCGTCGAAAAATGGCATTGCCTAAAATAGGATTTTACATGAAAAAATCATCAAAAAAAAAAAAAAAGAAGTTTGTTTCTAAAGATAAATTATAGGAAAAATAATAAACCATAGGATTTTGATTTGTCTTATATATAATATTGGATTCATGCTAGCTTGTCTTTTGGATTTTTCTTTTACTTTGACTTAATTGCGCCTCTGATCTTGTGTATTACAAATCAAAAGCAAAAAAAAAAAAAAAAATGTCTGTAATGAACACATTATTTTTAATTGTCAATAATGAAGCTGCTTAAGAACGTAAACCTGCCCAGTACACACTAATAGCCTAAACTTACAATATAACCTGTAATCTCATCTGTCAAATCACATGCATTTCAACTTATTGCAATTCAACCAGCCAACCTAAACATGCATGCATGGGTAGAAATATCCCAACCATTACACTTATTCTCTACAAATTTCTTTCCAACTCTACAAGAATTCAAGAGGTAGAAGCCAACATAAACTTAGGACTGTGATGAATCCACAGTTTTGAGATCATTATTCCTCAAAATCCCCTTCACTTCCTTCTAGTTACTCTGATCTTTAAGTTCATCTTCAAGTTTCTC